AGACTTCTTTCAGAATCCTGAGTCTATCACTCACCAGCATGGATAAGTCACTTTTCTGAAACTTGCTTTCTTTCAAATGGATGTAATGGTGAACTCAGCAAGAGCTGTGTCAAGGATGGAGAGAGCGACACTTGAGGATCATTTAGAACAGTATTTTCAGTGGTGTCAGTCTCCTGGGGAGGCCGAGAGTTTGAACCACACAGTTCCAACCCAGGCCAATCAAGGAGAGGCTTTTGGGTAGTTTAGTCCTATAACTCAGATCTGGGATGATGAGCTGATCAGAGAAGAGCATCTTGAGCTCCCCTGTTCTCTGTTATCACTCATGAATTTTGTTTAAATGCAGATTCCAAGTAACTGAGAGTATCCAACTTAGAGCTGTCAGGTAACTCTAACCCTTTTTGACCTCTGACATCCTTTGAGGAGCAGTGGTTAGAGATCTTGTTCTGATCTGTGTTTTTATCTATTGTGGTCCGCAGAAGACAGAGGTACTACCTACTCTGGGTAGCAAGGGGAGGACAAATACAGAAGAAGGACAATGAAATTGGGCACAGTGGTGCACACCTGCAGTCCCAGCACACTGGGAGGCTGAGAGAGGAGGAGCACTCAGCTCGAGCCCAATCTGGGCAAAATTTAAAAGTGGGTGGGGCTGAGGATGCAGCTCAGGGCCAAGGCGCTGGCTTCCACCCTCAGTATTGCAATGATGATGGTGGTGGTGGTGGTGATGCACACTGAAGGAAAATCAGCAGATGAATCCAGAAAGCACAGAGAAGGACATGGGTTAGAGAGTTTCAACCCTGGCGGGACTCTAATCTCACCTGGGAAACTCTAAAAATTATCACTCCTCTGGTCCCACCTCAGGAATACTGATGCGGTTGGCTGGGTTCAAGCCAGATGTGACGTATTAAAGAAAATAGCTCCCCTGGCTATTCCAGCACGCAGCCAGGGTTGAGAACCGCTGGGCTAGACAACCGCAGCGACTTCCCCAGCTGGGAAGCACGCGGGAAGGGGATCATCAGGTGTCACGTCAGCTTGCTTGGGGGCTGCTAGTCAGGCAAGAAGAAAAAGCTTTGTGGAGAGTGCAGGTAAGGCAAGTCACCGGGCTGACACCTCGCACAATCAGGTTAATTTGATCAAGTTGTTAGAAAAACCTGAACTGAAATAATAGCTTAGCCATGGGCCCTCAGAGTGAACTGTCCGTCCGTGGAGAAGCCAAGGGTAAATGGAAGAGGTGAAATCCTATTGCTACAGGGAGGTGGGACTTACATTTCTTTCGTTAACGGTGTGGGATTGGTTGTCCTTTGCGCTGGCAGAGGCAGGGCAACGGGTTTCCTCTGAGCACTGATGCCAGCCTGTTTTGGTAGCATTAGCCAGGCCTCGTGCGACCAGGGTGCCGGTGGACACAACACACTCTGACAAGGGAGCACCGTGGATGTGGTTTTAACTGAGTGTATCCTGGCGGCCCAGAACAGGCTGGCAAGTTACCAGAAGCCAGCTCAGAGTTGGCCCCGGCAGCCTGCACACAGCTCAGCCCCTTTCGGGACACACTCAGAGCCAGGTGTGGCAAGTGCCTGCAGCCATCATGCTTTTGTGGACAGCTCCTCATGCCACCCTCACCGCCCTGAATCTCTGTCCACACCGCCTGTAAGGGGAGCTCCTGCGTCACTATCCCTTAGCGCTTGCCCTTTCTTCCAAAGGCGGAGCGGACTCGGCTCTCCTGCTTGGCACTTGGTCGCCTTCACCCGAGCACAGCGATTCAAAGCCCTGCAGAAGCCCAGGCCACCTTGGGTGGACAGACAGCCACTGCAAACGGTCATCTGGATGCTGAGGGGGTCACTCCAAAGGGGGCAAAGCCGCACAGTGTCTGGGAGGGAGAAAGCAATCCTGGCGGATGCAAACCTCAGCCAGAGACCCTGGCCGTGGGCAGCCTGCTCTGAAGGGACCATGCTTGCTCAGGGGAATCGGTGGGGAGTTCTGCAACCCGACAGCTGTGCCACACCCTGCGTATTCGCATTGCATCCATCCTGCGTGTGGCCTTGGCCTCAGGATTTGTAAAGCCCTCCAAGCCCTTCCTAATGTGAGGCCAAACCCAGAGGTGCCCTGCCCCCTAAGCTGCCCAGGGCAGGGGGACAGCTTGGTCAGTGCGCTGGAGTCACGGTGCTGTGCGGCCATCCCCAACCGTTCTGGTCAGCCCCCTAGGTGGAGCCCCGAAAATTCTGCAGCACAGAAGCACAGAAAGGCTGAAAATCGCTCAGTAGTTCTGAATCTTGGTGAGGCAGAGGCATTGTGCGGCTCTGTGAGAAGGGGTGAGAAAGAATTTATCTGTGAGAAAGAATTTGTTTATCTACTCCTCCCGATCTGTGGGACTGGGAGGAGTAGCAGCCTTAGTGTCAGACTAATAGCACGGGTTTCGTGACGCCTCTCATGCAGGGATTCGGGGGCCAGGGCAACGGCACGCCGAGAAAACACTTCGCATGGCACCCACCCATTTGGCAGAAGCCCCCGAAAACCCAGCCCGGCAGAGGAGGCACAGCTCAAGAGAAGAGCGAGGGAGGGGCAGCCTGGCAGGGCAGCGCGGAGTGGCCAGGGGCTGTGCGCAGACACACCAAGACCAGGGGAGGCGAGGTGGCCGCGTCCACCCACCGCCTCCTGAAGCTACTGTGACCGCACACACACGCTGGTCCTTTCCAAGCACCTGCAAATGAGTTAGAAGGCACCGGGGTCTGGAGGCAGCGGCCCCCATAGCTAGCACTCAGAGGACACCTGAAGGATCCTGTGGCGAGGCAGAGAGAGAGAGAGAGAGAGAGAGAGAGAGAGAGGGCACTTAAGAAAACGCCGTCCCCAAAGGCAGGAAGGGACCACAAACCCAGGCTTCACTCTTTCTGAAGCACCTCCTTAGGCAAGCTGCACAGCTCACTTTTGCCTCCTCTTCTACCTAACCGCGAGAGCGAGGTTCCCCACACCGTGCTTACAAGTGCACTTTGCAGACAGCAGAGGGTGACGGGGAAAGGCACTGTCTGCCAGCTCTGCGTCTCTGCGCTCTTCCAGGGAGAAGCGCCTCGTGTTCAGGAACTTTAAGTCAAATGCTCTTTGTTATTTATCGCTTCACCTTTAATTATACGAGAAAAGTGCATTTTAGAAAAATTACATATACACAAGAGAAACTATTAAAGCACTGGAATTCCATTCCCTAAAACAATCAGAATCAGTAAAATATTTTGCTATAGTCTCTGCGGCATTTTGGTTCACAAATGGAAGTGTTTGGTAAAATTTTGTTTCTGTTTGCAAATTCTACACTGGGTAAAACGTGACCGCGGCCATCTTTCCCACATAAACACACATGTGAGTGTCTTTTCCAAAATCATAGAACAAATTTAGTCCATGAAGCGAGGTACCACTGTACTATATATTTTTGAAAGTATGATGGGCCCCAAATCATTTACACAGGTGAATTCATAGCACAGTTTGGTAGCCTGTGCCTTAAAAATGGAACAGTATTTGTAAAACTTTCCCCACATTCTTCCACATCATTTTTAATCATTGAGCAGAATATTGTTCAAAGGATGAACCAGTTATTTTTATTTAGTGGGCCCTCTGATAGTAGGCATTTAGATCACTTGTAATTTTCTTTTTTGTCTTAAAAAGAACGTTTTTCTGAGTGGGACATGGTGGTGCACACGTGCAATCTCAGCTCTCTGGGAGGCTGAGGCTGGAGGATCACAAGTTCAAGTCCAGCCTGGCCAACTTGGTGACCTAGTTAGGTGTTGTCTCAAAATTTTAAAAGGGCCAAAATTGTAGCAAAGTGGGAAGGTGCTGGGTTTTATCCCCAGGCCTACAAAAAACAAACACAAGAGAACAGAAACCACTGTCCTGACTCCCTTTACCTGTGCATTTGTGCTCTTTTGTCATTTAAATTTTAGGGTAACCTGGGCCAGTGACTCTGCAAAGCTTTGTCTTTCTAAAGAGAAACGTGCATGCTGCTTGTATAGTGTAGTACATGCCGCGTGGAGTGGCCAGGGGCTGTGCGCACGGTGAGAAGGGGTGAGAAAGAATTTATCTGTGAGAAAGAATTTATTTATCTACTCCTCCCAATCCCATAGATTGGGAGGAATAGCAGCCTTCGTATCAGACCATTAAACAGAAACAAAAAATATTAAAAATCTAAAATATTTTTACTCTAAGTACATGAGAATATATTTATAAACTTCAGATGATTGTAAGTATTCGGCTTACAGCGAATACTTACACCGAATACTGCGAAGCGTCCGGCCCACCAGCACCTTCCCTGTACACCAGCTCTTTCCTGACTAATTTTGTCTGATTGTGGATCTATATCATTCACGCTCAGACAGGAAAATACGCAGACTGCTGACAAATGCTCAGGGGAAGAAGAAGTCGCCGTCACCCACGCTGAGACGGGATTCTCTCTCGCCGCTTCAACTCCCCACCGTGCTCGGCTCTCCAAGCTGTCTCTGAAGATGCCACGTGCCGACTCTGGCTTCAGAGGATGCTCGGAGGGCTCCTCTAAGAAGCGCTCCGGTGCCAGGCGACGGCGCCCCTTTGCAACACTCTGATTTGTCCTTAGAAACAGAAATAAACATGCGCTGGCTGACGCCGTGCTCTTCCCTGTTTCAGAAAGTATTTCACAGATGCACCTCTGAGGTTTCCCGCAGTTCGGGGCAACAGCGGGCTAGAAACTTCACCTGGCTTAAAAGGCACAGATTTTGTGTACGAAAAGCGGGAAAGCAAAACTATGGAAAATGGGCACCTATATACAGGTCAAGGAAAGGGGTGACCCACGTACTATGCCTGATCCAGATTTGATGCTAGAAAACCTCAGGCAACAAGGGCACAACTTCCAATTTTAGATAAATATTATTACATTTCTGATTATAAAATGAGTGAATATTTCTTATACTCAATATATTTGGAAGACTGGAAGGGAGAAAAAACCTTATAATTTCACCATCAGCCTGTTTAATGTGTTGAATATTTCTTTTCAGGTTCTTGCGGCCCACTTCAGGATTCATTAAGGTCATGACAGCCTATCCTGGTTTTGGGTTTCTACCCAGCACTTCTGCAAAGGCACGTTCTCCATGTCGACAGTTGTGCGTGAGGATTTCTCCAAGCTCCACTGGGAACCGCACTGCCTTGAGAGATGAGCAAAGGACATACATCGAGCATGTCTATCAACCACAAATCCAAGGATAAAACAGAAGAATTTTGCTCACTGTTCACCTACAATGGACAGCAAAGATCTGTTTTCCTCCCTGGGTTACTAAGCCTTGCCTTCCCCAGGTATGTAAAGCGGTGTTGGAGAGATACAGAGGATGGGCTGCTGTAGCTTGACCCTCTGAATACTTGCTCCTGCTCAGAGAATCAGACCCATGGGGACAGGGCCTCGAGGAGCTTCCTTCATGCCCCGCATCGGAAGGAGCATTCTGGAGCAGCTTGTGGGACGGGACTGGCCCTTGAGCACGCACCGCAAGCAGGAAACCTGTGCTGTCTCCTCTTCGACCAATCGCCAGAGTTGAAAAGAATTGTGTTCCCCAGGGTGCCATGATCACTTTACCCTTTCCCAGCTGTGTCTCTCCAGGGGCAGAGGGTCTGGCCCGTGACTGCCACCACCTCCCGCAGTTCCTCTGAGAGCTGGAAAAAGGCCCCCCTTCAAGACACCCGCCTTCCGTCTGTTGGGAACCTGTAATGCGCTGATGCTGTTGCTGACCTTTGCTAAAAGGTGTTAGAATTAAAATGCGCATACATGATATAATCCCAGCACAAACAACGCCTCCCTCATGCCCCCAGCCTAGTCCTTCCTTCCGGATATGAGACAACATCGGAACAGGCTCGGTATGCATGAGTAGCCCTGCTGGAGGCCCTGCCCGAGTCTACAACCGGAAGTGGTGATTCTTAACACCTCCACCCCATCCCTCTGCTTAAGCTGCTGCCTTTCACTTACTCAGTCAACTGGTGTCTGTTAACCCTTTGAAACAGGCCAGGCTTCGTGCTAGGTCCGGCAGAGAAAGAGAGAAATAAGCCACGGCACCTGCACCGTGCGAATGTGTCCCGGACCGCGAGCTGCACGGTGGCCGCGTGGATGAGGTGTATAAGGGGCCAGTCCTTCAGGCCTGGCTTTGGAGCATTTCTCCTGGGCCGGGACCGGGTGAGGCAGGCCAGGCAGAGCAGTGTAAGTACAAAACACATACATTCTGTTCAGCACGACTTTTCAACATTCACTTCAATTCTTTAGATTCTTGCACACAAATAGTTGAGCTTGATTACTGAATTTGTGGGCGTCCTGGAAAGTTCTGCTCTTGAAGTCAAATCCTTACACACCCTCGCCGAGGTCTGGCCTAGAAACCAAACCAAACCTTGCTGCCTGGGCTCCAAAGACAGCCGGGGAACCCGGATACACAGGGGTCTGAATCGGGCCATGTAGTTCCTTTGGATTTGGAGGATAAGGGGGCCAGCCACGCTCACCACCCAGGCAAACAGCACCTGTCACTCGGGTCAGGGCCTCATGGAAGACCCTGAGCTGGCCGCCGTCTTCTTCCACAGTGACAAGAGCGTCTTCTTCTGACAAATGTTTGCAGGGTGCCTACCACACGCAGACCCTACTTCAGGCCTAGAGAGGCTGAGGGGAAGAGGGCGATGCCTTTTCCGGCAGGCAGCCTGGTTTGGGTGCAGACAGGAGTGAGTGTGGCCACGGCAGCCTGTGCCCCCCGAGATAGGAGCCTTCCTGCGTGGTGGCACTTGGCGGGGTCAGGACAGCTCTCGGGGGCCGTATTTGAGCTGAAACATCCCTGGCAAGTGGACACCGTGGCCTCTACCTCGCAGGGTTACTAACTGTTTTTACGGATGATCTTTAACGAGTCCCCCGTTTGTGCGTCATAACAACCGCTCACGTCCCAAGTCACCTTTCAGCGCACGGAGATAAAGGCTCAGACCTTTAAAGCCCAGGTAGCTGGAAGCACCAGGTGGGGAGGGCGCGCAGAGCACACGGGGTCCAGGCCCGCACGCAGTCGCTACAATTACAGCACAGCGAGCACCCGCTTCCCCGGGCTGCCGCTGGAGGGGCACGCCTCACCGCCCGGCTCCTTCTCTGCCGCCCGCGCTTAGTGAGGGCGAACCAGGTGCCAGGCAAACCCCAAGCGTCCCTTTCGGGGGTGCCGAGCCGTTCTGCAGCTCGAGCGCGCGGGGCCGCGGGTCTGTGCGAACTGGTCACCGGGCCGCGCCGCGCACCGGAAAGGGCCTTCTGCCTCCGTGTGAGCTGTCCCTGGAGGGGGAAGCCTCAGCCGCCTTGCGTCTCCACCCGCGTCCGGCTCGGGCCGCCGTGGGGCTGCGGAGCGGTCTCGGTGCCCGGCTC